GTGTGTGTGTTCTCATTTCCACCCTGTTCCTCTGTCTCTCAATTCCACCTGTGTTACTTCCACCCACTCTTCTTCCATTTCTCTCTCTACCATCCATCCCTCTGTTCCGCTGAGAGAGATACAGATCCTCTCGGAGGCCAAATCAATTCTCCTGTGAGAGCAGCCCAGTCAGCAGAGGGCCCGGACTGCAGCACTGAAACTACCTCTCCGGCTACTTCATCTCACATCACACACACAGCACTCACACATATGCACACACCAACTGCATTCACTCGCTGAATATACCGTGCCAGTACAAAGCACCTGAACATTTTCTCAATCTCTCTATCTTCTCCTCACCCCAACCCCACTCGCCCACCTCTTTCTGAAGTGGCTGCTAATATTCTTCTCGGGAGAATCATGATCCTCTGTTTCAATCAATGAGAATTGTTTTGCTGAGGTCGCTCCCTTTCTCTCTGCATAGTGCGGGTCACTACAACCGGTTGGAATTCACACAGACCCCGAAGACAAGCAGGGTTCAGGCTGAGGGGGAGGCAGGAGGAAGGAGGTGTGGGGGTGGATGGATGAAAGGTGGTGGAGGAGGGAGAAGCTTTCTTATTTGGCGAGTCGTTCGCAGGGTCAACGCCGCTGTGCTGCAGCTGCAAAATCCTATCGGTGTTCGTCGGGAGAGCTTTTTCATTCACATCCTCTTTCCTCTCTCCACACTATTTCTCACTCCACATTTTCTTTCTCTTAACCATGATGTGCTGGTGCCACAGCATTGTAGTTTTTAAGATGACACACATCCCTTGTACCTGGATTATATCCACGCTACATGCTATAGTATATAAATTCAAACCGGCAAGCTAGTAGGAGTGAAGCCCTGAGAGTCACAAAGATGGGATTCAGATAAGCAGGTTATTAATTAAATTAAATCACAATTCAAGGCTGTATACATTTCATGCTTCTCCCTTCTTGCCTGTCTCCCTTACATTACCTCTTTTTCCCTATTCCCACCTTTCTTTTCTGTCAGAGCAACTGTGCCAGGTGATATATTGTCCATTCAGCTGCCCAAACAGGGTGCAACTCTTCATTCTCACACAGAAGGTACTTCAGGACAGGTCTGAGAGGCTGTTTAGGGCCACAGCTACTCAGGTGTGGAGCTGAGGTCAGCGATTACAAAGGCAACACTCTCCACGGATGGTGTCAAGAGAAAATGATCAACCATAAAGCTGTGGAGAGAAAATCAATGCGTGGTGTGCACAGACAGGAGGTGGTAACGGCGAGCGGGATAATATAAACGGGAGCTGCAAAGTACAGCAAATAGGGTGAGAGAAAGAGTAAAAGGATGGAGCGTGGTGTGGGGAGCGAACAGAGATGGTCTTCCTGTGCCAAATGGTTGGCGGTGTTGAAACAAAAGTGTGTGTTCCAACAGGAGATGTAACACCTAGCATCAACAAAGGCTGCAGTCCCTTCTGGCTGACCGGCTGAGCGTTTGGACAGCTGGCCTCATTAGCGCTAGCATGTTAGCACACAACAGGAGGATGACTCCTACGCATCTGAGAGAGAAAGCATTGCTAGGTGGATGAGGTGAAGTGCTTACTTCTAAAAGTTTGCTTTCCTACATAGGTTACAGGGAGCTGAGCACCTGAGAAAAAATAATAGCTTGTAACCATGGCTATGGCTTTAACTTAGTTTTACCTCTGGTCATAGATCGCATGTTCACACACAGTTAACAACAGTTAACATCCAGTGCATCTGGAAGATTCTTGCAATAAATGCAAACTCAATAATCTCAAAATATTGTATCATGTCTTGATTTAAATTACCCACATTTCTAATCCTGACAGAATTATTGATGCCTGCACACAAGCTGGCAAGCAAGCACTTAAGAATGCCTGCTGCAGACAGGGTTGTGTTGTTGTGACACCTGCCATGTTGTATCAATTACAAGCAAAGGAATGGGTGACTGGGTGGGTTACTCCCAAAACAGACCCAACATTATCCTGTTGGAAGGGGATCATTTTGTAGACTCCGTCCTGTTATTGTGTAAACGTGTTGACACTTATTTTAGACACTTGCAGTTTGATCTTGGCCTGATTGATCTGATTAAATAAGAGACTTTTCAGGAATTTAAAATCAACTTTAACAAACACCAGATTGCCTAGTTTGTCCTCTCCTACACTGAGACATGCCAGCCAGGAATGGCAGCATTTCAACCTCTGTGGGAGGGAGCTATATCTCTGTGCTTGGAGTTACTTTGGATGGGGACACGGTCACATATGTAAAGTTTGATATGTAAAGGTTATATGTTTTGAAAAAAAACATATAACCATCTTAAGTAAGCTTTTATCTTGATTCATAAACTATAAGGACATCTGTATGGGACTCAGGACCTATACATCTTGGGTGCAGAACTTCCGCACCATACCAAAACATGTAGGTGGTATGTGTGGAATGTACAACCAAAACACTTTTTCTCTGAGTTTGTCTCTTAAAGAGACAGATCAAAAGGATGTGCTCTCTCCCTGCTACTAATTTTAGTCAACTGACTAACACATATTCCAGGTCTGCTGTTGTTCTGCTTGTGATTAGACAGATTGACTCACCATGAGCAGCAGCAACTCTTTGTCTGCCCTTCTACCTCTCTTGTGTCTCTATATTTAGCCTTGGTACAAGGCTCCCTCGTTGAGGTACGCCACTTATCTCATTCGGAGCTTGGAGCCAGGCAGGCCCTGGTGAAACTACCACAGGCATCCTCAAAGAGTACAGACCCTGCCGTCACAGAGTCTGCCCTTGCGGCTCTGCAATGCCATTTTCTCAGGGAAGCCAACCACTACAAAAAAAACCCAGCTTGAACCAAAGTAAAACAAAGCTGTGCCATTCAAAACCTCAAGTATGCCGTCTCAAGGTGAGGCGCCTCATTCAGCTCTGAGGTAAACGCTGCTGGTTTTGTTAAAACAACAGCCTTCCTCCCACAGAGTCAGGAAGGTCAACTCAAGTGCCAATAACAAAACAAAAGAATTGGGGATTTTTCATGGTTTGCCTGTTCGCAGGCTGCCTCCAACTTGCGAAACCATTTAGAACAGACAAAGACTGTTTGGTTCTAGCAGTTAAGACATATAAATGTGGACACAACAGTAAGGGATCACACGCTCAGTTAACTGTTGAGGGCACAAGGGGTCCAGAGAGTCTGTTTCCTATCCTTGCTTAGTGGCTAATGCACAGTCTCTCCATTAGAATTGTCTGCAAACAATACCATAGCAGGCCAGTCGCATTTAGGAATACGTCATATCCTCCACAGATACACAGCACAACATTTAGCTCCCCAAACAACATCAAGTGACTCTTACTCATTAGGCTGGGAGGCCAAAAAAGCAGACCCACTGCACATACTGTGGACTTGACAAAAAAAATAAAAAATAGCACCCGGCAGTGCTGAGAATTATTCCTTTATGTGCAGCTAATGTAAAATGTTTCATTAATTGATTAGAGCAGGAAATTCAACTGTAAAATAACAATACAGGGATAATGCAGACAATTGGTTAGATTATTCCATCAAAAGCAAAGCACTTCAACAACCTGTGGAGCACAGCTCTTCACAGGAACCATTTCAGAGGTGAGCTCGGAGACAATGGGCTCTTGTCTTCCTAATGATGCTGATCAAGGTTTTAGCATGTGAGCTAATAGGCCTCTGCGGGTCACTCATCTCCCATCTGATGAGCACTTTCCATGATAACAGTATTGCTAATAAGGACTTTTGTTCTCTTAATCTGCATGATGACACTTGGAAGTGTAAAGGAAGTCGTGGGTGTTAATGAGTGTTAGGAAAAGCAACACACAAAAAAAGATTTAACTGCACCTTAGAGATTGTGGAATGCTCCTTTTCCAAAAAGAACATTATTTGTATTACTCTTAGTTAGACCTAATAGTGCTG